CTGATCTCCATTGAAGAAGAACAGCTTGAACTTGGGTAGCTACTAGCTTGAAATTATAAACCAACAAAAACCCAAGTCCCCTTTCCTTCCAAAATATGTGTGGATATATATACACACACATATATATATATATGGAAAGTATGGTGGAAAAAGGCTTTTTGGCTATGTTTTAGTCGGCCACCTTCTGTAGCTTTTGCAGAAATTAATTTTAATAGGAAGATAATATATTAATTTGTGCTGTTAATTTCAGTGGGGTTGCTCCATGTCATGATCCTAAGTTTAGTGCTGGCATTAGACATCATGGATGAGATCATGACAATGTCCCCCTTATGTGTATTTCTATTTTTATCTTAATAAGATTATGGGGTTGAAAAAAAAAAAAAAAAAACAGAGGATGAAATCATGACATCATGGATGAAATCATGATATCATGTACAGTTAAGTTGTTTCCCCTATATTTTTGGTCAAAATTGTTCCCCTATTTCTATTTCATCATGTGAGTTCCAACAATGTACGCGACTGCAGTTGGAAGTGATGAAAATCCAAAAGGAAAAAGAAAATTTTGGTTTGTATTTGTTCACTTTCGGGTTCGTTCATATTGTTACATAAGCACACAAATTATTAAAACGCATTATTAGTTGAGATAGGTAGAGAGAAGAAGTGTTATTTAAATCAAGAGTTTAGTACAGGTAAAACATGTCAAGCGGTTAATGTGTTTGAACAAAACACAACGAATTTTTGACTTCTTATTTTATTTACTTTGTTTGTGAGCAACGTTATACTAATTAAATTTAAGATCTAGATTCTCTCCTCTTTCTTTTTTCTTCTCTTTCAAATATATTCTATTTAAACGTTCACGATTAAATTACGTTAATATTTTGTATTGATAATTTTATAGAAAGACAGACAAAAAAAAAAGTATGAGAGAAGAAAAAAGAAGATGATTTAAACGGAGGAGATTCCTGCTCCCTAAAGTTAAGACGAGCACTAGCAAAAGTCAATCATGTGAGAGCCCAAGATAAGTGGAGGGAGGGATATGGGATGTCACATCTATTTACCCTCCAAATAATAAAATGCAGGTCAATTCTCAGCCGAATTATTGGATTGGGGCCCGGCGGCGCGCATAGGATTTAAATGGGTTCGAGATGGATTACAGAGTCCAATGGTCCAGAAATTGGGCCAAGTTCCCCCAAATAGCTTTATGACAGAATTTCTAAACTTAATTTGCCAAGAAAGGAAAAAAATAAACCCAATATCGAACTACATCGTTGATCTATGAATTTTCATCATAATTTAGATTTGATTTATGAATTAAAATTTCGTTAACAAAGGTTCCTAAATGTAATAAACGCGCACCATCATTCATTTTTTTCGCGAGATTTTCCGTCAATTTGATTACATGATAAGACATAAGACCCATAATTAATCTTTGAAGTTTAACTATAGTTTAAATTTGATCTGTGAATATACTTAGGATTAAATATGTGAAATCAGCATGTGTGCTACGTTATAAGACCAGCAGAATTTTTTTATGAAAGTAAACGACATGAACCAATGATACACGTTCTTCACCATTAGTCCCTGTATTATATTTACGAAAGTTAATGAGGTCAACTTCACTGGATTTTTAAATTGTATTTGGTTGGATTTCTTTCTTGTTGTCATGGTTATTTTGGTTATGCCATTCGTAAACAGAATAAAATAGTTGAAAGGAAGCATGAAATTAAAGAGTTAAGATTACTCAGTAACATATATCTCAGATTTGCAGTGGCACTTTATGGATCTAACTTGATATATTTTGAAGGACTGACTTTGATCTTGGTTAAGAGATTTATTAGGGTATAATTATAAACGTATAAGTTTAGTGGTTTGGATATAACTAGGGGTGTGATATCCACACACCCCTTTTTATTTTTCATACACCCTTTTAATTTTCGGCTGTCGGATCGGATAAATTGAAAAAAATCAAATGACAAAAATTAACAAGAAGTGTGTGGATATCATACCCCTATAACTAAGATGCATGCAACTTTCATACCCTAATTTTTTATTTTTTATTTTTTAAATTTGTAGCTTTGATTAAGATTTATATGCTTTATCTTCCCGATATAACGAGGGATCCCGATAACATAAAGGAGGCTGTATCTTGAGAAAGACATATTCTTATTAAGTTTCTTGTTTTATTTGGGTCTATTCATCTGTCAGAAGTATGAGTACAGATTGAGAGACGGACACAAGACAGAAAATAAAAATGAGGAACTTGGGAAAGATAGATAAGAATAGGTCAGCGAGATACCAGATAAAATTCTTGTTAATATATTGTCTCCTTTGCCGTTAAAAGAAGCAGCAGCGACTAGTATTCTTTCAAAGCGGTGATAGTATGTGTGGATGTCTACTATGACTCTCAACTTTGATGCTAACTACCATCTTAATAGAATTGGATTCTTGGAATGGAAAAGGTAGTTCAAAAACTTGAGTTGGAATTCTTTTTAAGATACGGTGTTATGAGAATGATATGTATATGTTTCTTGACCACTTATTAGGTCTCGGAAAAGGTCCCTTGTATTCTTATAGTCCCAATCAACATTCTCATGAGTACAATAGCGAATTTAAGTTCTTAAAAAATCTTAATTTCCGCTTGTTGATATGATTGTTGATGTCCTTGAATACTTCTGGTGTAATTTTCTATTTTTTGAACGATTAACAGTGTTCGGCGTCAAAAGTCTAGCTAACTTAAAAGTTGTCAGTTCCTCGATTGTACTGAAGTATTTTGTGATAGATATATGTGTGCACCTCAAAAGCATTAAGAATTTGAGTTCAAACCCTTTGATGGCTAATCTAACATCTAATCTAACAAAATCTATCGTCTGACAAAAAAAAAAAAAAAAAAAAAGCATTGAGCATTTGGGGGAGAAAATCAGCTATACCAATTTTCTATTTTTGTGGTCCTACTAATTTGATTTGGATAGAAACCCCTTAAAAATAGTCGGATATAGAGAGAAAGGCGTGAAGAAGGTGAAGGTATAAATGACAGAAGGAAGAGAGATGGAGAGCGAAGGGAAAAAGAAAGAAAGAAAGAGCGAGTAAAAATCTGTTTTTAATCGATAATTAACTTTAATTCAATTTGAGCAATGGTCTCTTTCTCAACTAAAAATTCATGATTATTGATCCATTAACTCATCAAAACGTGTAGTTATGATCCTTTTTGTTAATTCCGTCAAAATGAGTTATGTTGGAAGAATATTATTACAATTGGGTTAAAGTTGAGGGACTCCAATTGGGTTAACATTGTAGGACCATTTCTCCAATTGAGTTAAAGTTGGGGGATCATTGCTACAATTTTTCTCATTTAGTTTTCCATATTTGCCCCTTGATTCATTCTTATGTGTGTTACATGTGACTCATTTTGACAGAAGTTCTAACGGAGTAGACGAAAAGGATCATACCTGCACATTTTAAGGAGTTAAGGGACCAATAATCATGAATTTTTAGTTGATGGACCATTGCTACAATTTCCTCAAAACGAAAATATCAAATTTGGACAAATTTGCTAACGGATTACACCATGAAGGTTTAAATCATAACTTTTTTTTACCATGAGGCAAACTTCCAAATACTTATCACCAGAAACATCATTTATCCGATTAGAGTTTTTTTTTTTTTGGCTAACTACATTTCACACTCAGTTATGAAGTTTCAATTCTCTCATTTTGCATCATGAAATTGCGTAGAGTCATATGCGAATCTCCAACTAGTTCGGATTCAAACATAATCGCTAGACTAGAATAGAGACCGCCTCTTGCTGAGCCTTTCAAACTAAGCGGGTCTGATTTACAAGTGCAAAAAGTTAGGACTAGTGAGTAATTTTACTAAAACGGTTTCCAAGTATTAAAAGCCTTACATGCCTGTCTAATCGAGACTACTTCATCCGAAATACCGCTTTATTATCAAGGAAAAGACATGTAATGACTACGTCATCATTAGGGCTTTCAAATCAATGAAAAATATATGTAACAAATACATTATCATCATAGTTTAAAATCATATATTGTAAATTATCTCTATTAATTAATAAAACACTCATTATCATATATTGTAAATTATCTCTATTAATTAATAAAACACTCATTGTCAACTAAAATTTTATGAAATTACCAGTTTAATTCTCTAATTAAAACAGAACATGAATAAGAAATATGAGATAGAAATGTAATTTCAAACAACCAAATTTTGCTTTTTTTTTTTCAAAGCTTCACATGCATGTATATAATCCTAACATATCTCTAATTATAAAAATTAAAAAAAAAAAAAAAAACTTCCCACTTCCACGTTCTCTATCACTCCCTTCTATTTCAAAAACAAAAATAAAAAAATTAGGGAAGTATTATTGACACTCCAAAAATCTCATTCTACACTCCTCACAAGTGTATTTTTCTTTCTAAATATAGAAAGTTTTGAGTGTAAAATGATAATTTTTGAGTGCCAATAACAATTCCCAAAAAATTTCTCACACACTTTGTGTGTGCCCATATACTAGTAATTTATTATGTGTACCAATATTGACTCAGAATACCATAACAAGAATATTCTATTTTAAAAACACTTTAGTTAACAATAATAAAATTTTATTTTATGGGGTTGGAAAATAAGTTATTAATTAATTGATATTTAGTTAATGATTCAATCATCCACAACCATATCATTTGATTTAAAAAATTTAGTGTTCGTAACATTACCTTTTAGAATTATGTTATAGGGGTGTGATATTCACACCTTATTTTACTTCTCACATATCTTTTTAATTTTCGGCCGTCAGATCGGATAAATTGAAGAAGATCAAAGGACAAAAATTATTAAGGGATGTGTGAGAAGTAAAATGGAATGGGTGAATAGCACATCATGTTGTAATGTTAAATTTTAGGGAATGGGTACCAAAGTACATTGGGCTTTAGAATTTGGGCTCAGTCCGAGAAACACAAACATTGAGCTAGCCCACCAGCTATTTCTCCCGGTTAATGGCGGTGGAGCCTGGACGCATTAGTCTTCGTCGGAAAACACCAGAAAAACGTCGAAGTTTCAGCCATCGACGACGAGAAGAAGAAGAAGAAGAAGAAAAAGAAAAGTGCAGTGAAGAAATACAGAGACAAAGTCCAGTGGCGGACGACGAGGCGGAGATATACGACGGAATTAGAGCTGCGTTTCCTCTCTCATTCGGGAAGCAATCCAAGTCTCAAACCTCTCTCGAAGCCATTCATAACACGACTCGTCGTTCCGTCACCAACAAACCTCCGGAAAAACCCTCCTACGACGCTGTCAAAACGAATGGCCTCCCTTCTCTCTCCCCCTCCTCCCAAACCTGGCTCAGCTCCCTCCGCGCCCCCAAAAACCTTAACCCTGACCCCAACTCTAACGAGAACGACGATGGCGATGCCATGGTTGGACCACCCCCTCCGCGGCCGCAGTCCGATCTTGGCGACGACAATGACGACGAGCGTGATATGATTGGACCACCGAGGCCGCCGGCGGGGTCCAGTAGGGACGACTCCGATTCCGATTCCGATTCGGAGGCGAATTTCGAGAACAGGTTTCGGATTCCGCTGAGCAATGAGATTGTTCTCAAGGGCCACACAAAAGTTGTTTCTGCCCTGGCCGTCGATCACACTGGGTCTAGAGTTGTTTCCGGCAGCTACGACTACTCCGTGCGGATGTACGATTTCCAGGGAATGAGTTCAAAGTTGCAGTCTTTCCGGCAGCTCGAGCCGTCGGAAGGCCACCAAGTTCGAACCATCAGCTGGAGCCCCACTGCGTACCGGTTTCTCTGTGTTACGGGCTCAGCTACGGCAAAGGTAGTGCTCAACCCTTACAATTCATCTTCCTGTTATTGTTTTACATTATTTGATTTGGGTTTTGGGTATTTCGGGTTGGTGTATGATGGGCAATTTGCATTGTGTTTACCCTTTCCATTTCGTGCGGATTTTGCAGATTTATGATCGTGATGGACTTACTCTGGGGGAGTTTGTCAAAGGGGACATGTATATTCGTGATCTCAAGAACACCAAGGGCCACATTTCGGGATTGACTTGTGGAGAGTGGAATCCTAAAAGTAAAGACACGATTTTGACTTCGTCCGAGGATGGATCGCTGCGTATTTGGGATGTCAATGACTACAAAACTCATAACTATGGCACTAGAGAGTTGATTTTTGTTCATTGTTGATTGCTTTATATAATAGTGAATTGGATTACTAATCAAACATTGTTTATATGTAATGTTAGATTGATTTCTAATGTTGAGACTTTGTTTTGCTTTTGTTATTGAGAATGCATATTACTGAACTTGATGTGTTAAGACTAAATTATGTTATATATCAATGAATAGGTAATCAAGCCAAAACTTGCTAGGCCTGGAAGAGTTCCGGTCACCACCTGTGCTTGGGATCACGACGGAAAACGCATTGCTGGTGGTATAGGAGATGGTTCTATGCAGGTATTGGATGGAATCTCTTACTTCAATAACCACAGTAGTGAATTAGCTCACAAATGGAAGTTTTCATTGGTTGGATAGATAGATTTATGTTGTTCGCTGTTTGCATCAGCTCCTTCTCACATTACATGTATCATTCTGACAGGTATGGATGGAACCTTAAGCCTGGATGTGGAAGTCGGCCAGATATACACGTTCAGAATAGTCATTCAGACAATATTACCGAGCTTAAATTTTCTATGGATGGGAGAATTTTTTTACTGTCAAGAAGCCTTGATGGTACATTGAAGGTAATGAATTTTGTGTCTAAAGAATATACTGCTGTTATTTACCAGTCTAAGATGTGCTTCATCAAGATTTATTCTCTGTTATGTATTTCCCTACTAACTCCATAATGTGTGCCAGGTTTGGGATTTGCATCAGATGAAGGATCCTCTTAAGGCGTTTGAGGATCTCCCAAACAACTATGCCCAAACTAATATAGCGTTTAGTTCCGATGAGCAACTCTTCCTGACTGGAACATCTGTTGAAAGGAGACCACCACTGGAGGTTTGCTATGCTTCTTTGATCGAGCAAAACTTGAACTTGTTTCAAAGGTTGGGATATCCCCCACGTGCAGTTTTGTGCAGTGTGCCTGGCACCCAAAACTCAATCAGGTAATGCTCTCACTGATAACATGCTTTTTTAGTCCATTTTCCTGAACTGTTCTAGCGTGCACATTGATTATTTGGGAACCACACAACACATTCATATGCATGCATGCACAATTTATGAAGAATGGAAATATACTCAGAAGTTACGTGCCCTTGATATTCCAAAATCAAAAAAATGAAAAATGAAAAATCTTACACGCCTGTGTTTTTGAAGATCTTTGCAACATCAGGAGATAAAGGCCAAGGAGGAATTCATGTGTTATATGATCCAACACTTAGTGAAAGAGGAGCCCTCGTTTGTGTTGCGCATGCCCCCAGGAAAAAGTCCATTGATGATATTGAGGCAAAACCAGTGATACACAACCCTCATGCTCTACCCTTATTCAGAGATCAGCCAAGCCGTAAGCGTGAGCGAGAAAAAGCACTGAAAGACCCACTGAAAGCCCATAAGCCCGAACTCCCCATGATGGGACCAGGTTTGGAAGAGCCGGCGCAAGTAAAGGAAGCTTATTGACCCAGTACCTCATGAAGGTAATGTTTTTTCCCCATAAAAATGTATACTGATCCTTTGAGTTCCATCTCAGCAAGGGGGTATGATCAAGGAGACGTGGATGGACGAAGGTCCAAGAGAAGCCATACTGAAGTATGCAGATGTTGCAGCAAAAGAACCTAAGTACATTGCACCAGCTTATGCGCAAACCCAACTTGAAACAGTTTTTGCAAAATCAGACCCTGAGGATGAAGAGAAATGATCTGAGAAAGGTTGCCGTTACTAGAAAAGTTAATTCGCAGGCCATCGCCAACAGAAACAGAAGCAAATCCACCCCATATTTTAAACTTACTTGTGCCTTGTGATTCGTCAAAACAGCTACAGAATCTGACATAGAAATCTTCGAGTTTCAACTCGGAGTCATTGTACAATGAAGCATTTAGAACATGAGAAAGTGTAACTTGATTTTCATATACGTAGACAGTACAATTTAATGGATTGTTAATGGAAAAAGAAAATTCATGCTACAATTTTTACTAAAGAGGACCCTAATTCTGTTGTCTCGTTATTCAAGCGTTGTGACATTAGTTTTTTTTTTTTTTTTGAAGAACTGGAAACCATTGAACCAGGGCCGAAGCCACGCAAACACAAAAGCCCACAAAAGACAAGCAACAAAGAAGACAACAAGCAGCAAGCAGAGGAGGAGGGTAAAAAAGCAAACGACGCAGCACCAAGTGCAAAGGCGTCACCCCCTCCCTTACCAAACCAAAATTTAATGGGGACAGGGTAACCCATCCTTGTTCAAAACATGGACCAACGAAGATGGAGGGTGATTAACCCAAGTTAAACCGCACATCTCTGGATTACTCCTCGACGCCAACCGATGTGCCGCCGCGGTGGCCGATCTCGGAACCCAAGACCAGCGACAATCCTGAAAGGAACCCCTTAGACGCAAAGCTTTAGAAAGAATGGGGAAAACCTCCCAGCTGCCCGAAGAAGAAGCATTTACTAAGTTATAGATATTCTCCTTGGAATCAAACTCCACAATAATTCTGTCCAACCCCAACGAACTGGCCAAATCACAACCAAGCAAAATCGCAGAGGCCTCCGCTGCTGCCACATTAGGCGCACAAATCTGCACTCTTTTAGCAGCCACAAAATTCCCCTCATGATTCCTAACCACAATTCCAGCATAGCTGCATTTAGAGGTAGCCACCCAACTCGCGTCCACGTTCAACTTCATGAAAAAAGGGCTAGGAGGAAACCAGCAAGCTGGAGGGACAAGGGCCGTCTGAACTCTCTGAGAACAACCCTCAGGAGTACGAGAAGCCCCCAGAAAGCCATTCACAGATGTAAAGATAGACATAATGACCTGATTAGGGGAGATACTTTTGTTGTCGAAAACAAAGTTGCACCTGGGCTTCCAGATGTGCCAATAGGTGAAAGCCACATATGACAAAATCCGAACAAGCTCTTCCTTGGATCCCAGGTTAGACCCAAAGAAGGAAGACACCCATGCGGGCAGATTTGAGACATTAGTTCGATTCACCCGATAATTTAAAGGGCCGCCAAACCATATAGGCTCAACCCACGGGCACGAAAGAAGCAGGTGTTCCAAAGATTCAACCTGAGCAAGGCAAATAGGACAACAAGGGGAGGGGGGCAATGACGCTTGAACAAATCCTCCATAGTGGCCAAAGCGCGAACTAAAGCCCTCCACATAAAGTTTCGAATCTTCGGAGGAATCATCAACTTCCAAATACATCTCCAGACTTGGGAAGGAATCACAGAGGAAGATGAGGAGGCCCTACGACTCAGAGGCATCGAGCAAGCATGCTTCCAATGGTAGCCAGACCTCACTGAATACTTCCCATTCCTATTGGCCGGCCAGACAATTCTGTCATCCCTCAAAATATCTCCAATGCAAGTGTCCTGGATGGCATCACAGTCCTCCACAGAAATAAGAGGCTTTATGGCATCAATATCCTAGTTTCCGGATGTTTCACTAATCATAATGCTCACCTACATATTCCTAGACACTCGCACATCCCCAATGAGCGTAGGTTTTCCAGCAGGGATAGACGGCAACCACCTGTCCTGCCATAACCTAACACTTCTACCATTCATTATCTGCCAATGTGCTCCCCTAAGTAAAATATCACGGCCAACCAGAAGACTGGACCAGCCTCAAGAAGCCCTACCTCCGTGTTTAGCTTCCAGGAAAGAACACTGAGGAAAATAGCGGGCCTTAAGAAGTTGCGCCCATAACGTATTTGGATCATGTATAATTCTCCAGCACTGTTTAGCAAGCAGAGCATCATTAAAATCTTGAAAATTCCTAAACCCCATACCTCCATCCTGCTTCGGGAGCCCCAACCGATCACGGGAAACCCAGTGGATTCACTTCTCCCCCCCTTTTGTCCCCACCAAAAATCAGCAATTAACGCATCAAATTCCGAACACAACGTAGTGGGGAATTTAAAAAGATGCATTGGGTAAGCAGGGATAGCTTGAATCACAGCCTTAATCATAATTTCTTTCCCTACTTGTGAGAGAGTGCATTGCTTCCATCCCTGAATTTTTTCCAGAATCCTACCTTTCACATAAGCAAGCCCCTGCTTTTTGGAGCGACCCCAGAAAGAAGGGAGACCCAAATACTTCCCCGGATCATCCACCATTGGCATACCAATGCCATGACTTAACTCAGTTGATAAGCTTCTTGGCACATTAACACCAAAGAAAATACAGGACTTCTGAATATTCACCTGTTGACCGGACGCACCACAATAAGCTTATAAGATCTTCATCAGATTACCACAGTTTTGTTTATCAGCTCGCATAAAAATCAGGGTGTCATCCGCGAAGAACATATGAGAGATAATTGGACAACCATAGTTCAACTGGATTCCCGTGAGCTGCCGCCTATCAACAGCCTATTGAATAAGTTTAGACAATTCCTCACTAAGGAGAATGAAGAGGTACGGAGATAAAGGGTTTCCTTGACGGATGCCCCTAGACGGGATAAATTGTCTTCCTGGCTACCCATTTATGATTATAGCAAAATCCACAGTCTTGACATACCCCATGACCAGATTCCTCCATTGAGGACAAAATCCCAACTTGTCCATGACTGCCTCGAGGAAGTCCCATTCAACCCGATCATATGCCTTATGCATATCAAGCTTAACTCTCATCTCAAATTTACGCTTTGCCTTTCTGAGTTTCAAGAAGTGGAACATCTCATGTGCAATACCAATATTATCTTGTATTTGTCTCCCCATCACAAAAGCACTTTGCATAAGAGATATAATCTCCGATAGTAGAGGCTTGAGACGATTAGCAAGGATTTTTGAGACAATTTTATAGGAGTAGTTACATAAGCTGATAGGTCTGAATTGCCCGACAGATTCCGGGTTTATGACTTTTGGAACCAACACAATATGTGTCGAGTTGAGACGTTGCGGAGACATACCCCCTGCATAAAGTCCTGCACAATTCCGTTAACTTCATCCATAAGAGAGTTCCAAAAGGTGTGGTATAAAATTCCCTGGAACTCGTCAGGTCCCGAGGCCTTCATGCCTCCCATTTGGAAGGCAGCAGTTTGAATTTCCTCTATCATAACCGGCCTTATCAGGGCCAAATTCATCTCATCACTCACCTTATGCTGTATGCAATCCAAAGTCCGTCCCTACTCCCTTGGACCAGAGGTCGTAAAAAGATTGGCATAATGATCTTCAATAAACTTCTGAACCTCTCCCTGATTATCAATCCATACTCCATTCCCATCTTTGATCTTAACTACCTTATTTCTCCTTCGTCGTTGAAGCGTAGATTGGTGGAAAAAGGCAGTATTCGCATCACCTTCCCGTAGCCACTTCACCCTAGATCTTTGTTGCCAGAACTGCTCTTCAATCTCCCACAATCTGTCTACACGTAAAGATAACTTTTTGATCTCCTCCCAATTTTTGCTCCAATTATGTTGAAGGTCCCCCAGCCTGTAGATAAGGCATTCAAGTTCTCTACCTCTCGACTTGAATTCCTGACGACTCCACCTGTTTAGCTGTAAACGGCAGAATTCCATTTTTTTCTACCACCTCGTGATTCCATCTCCGCTACATTGTTGCCTCCAACATCGTTCCACAATTTCCTTACACCTCTCCTCTTTGGCCCAGAAAGCTTCAAAGCGAAAGGGTTTCTTCGATCTCTTAACACGTGGTTGACACTAAATAATTAGTGGGCAATGGTCTGACCCGATAACAGTTTCATGAATAACCATAGTATTTGGCCAGCAGTCTTGCCACTGCTTATTTGCCAAACCCCTGTCCAACCGTTCCTCCACAAGTTGCCCATTTCTTGTGCCACGCCAAGTAAAGCGAGGCCCATTAAAGTCCAGGTCCATAAGCTCCGTAACGTTTAAGAACTCCTCCAGGTAGACCTGGCAATTTCTTACACGACCCGTTAACACGACACGTAAACGACACGAAAATAATGGGTTTCGGGTCAACACGATAATTAATCGGGTCATTATCGGGTCACACGATAATAACCCGTTAATAACGGGTCCTTAACAGGTTTACACGAGAGTGACACGCGGGTAACCTGTTTCGACACGATAAGAAAAATGCTATTTTGATGATTTTAATTTTTTAAACTACTAAAAAAAACTTACTATAAAATGCAATAGATATAATGAATATGTATATATTGTTTATTAATTATTATTCTATATAAACTTTAAATTTTAAGTTTTATTTATTTATTTATTTTTATAGTATATTATAGGCAAAGATTGAGATTAAAAATCATAAAACACATTAAAATAAAAATATCAAGTAATATAAAAATACCAAACACATAAAAAATTATAATAATTAATTTCCCACCTAATATTTCAAGAGTTTCATCCATTTCCCACCTAATGTTTGGGAAATTTTGCAGCCTATATCCATCCATTTCCCGCCTAATATTTAAGCCAAAGAAACTCTAAGTGTTAGTTAATGTATCGTTTTGATGGGATACGCATCCTATGAAACAAATTTCAATGATCCAACCGTCAAACTTGTTTATATATGCTTCGAGATCGCATACGCCTAAATTTGCAAAAAAAAAAATATACAGAGATCAAGAAACGAGACAAAACTTTTCAACGGTTATAAACGAAAAATCACGATTTAACGGTTGTTTTAACTCTGATTTTGATGATTTTTTACAGCTATACTCTTTGACCCTATATGAATATAATGAATGAATTCGATCTTCAATTTAAAATATTTACATTGGTGGATACCACAAAATCTTATGTTATACTTGATAAAAATATAAATAAACTCTCAAGTGTTAGTGAATTTATCATTTTGATGGGATACGCATCTTACAAAACTAATTTCAACGATCCAACCGTCAAACTTGTTTATATATGCTTCGATATCGCATACACCAAGAATTGCAAAAAACAAACATTCAGAGATCAAGTAACGAGACAAAAAATTTTGACGGTTATAAACGAAAAATCACGATTTAACGGTTATTTTAACTCCGATTTTGATGATTTTTTACAGCTACACTCCTTGACCCTATATGAATACAATGAATGAATTCGATCTTCAATTTAAAATATTTATACTAGTGGACACCACAAAATCTTATGTTATACTTAATGAAAGTATAAATAAACTCTTAAGTGTTAGTGAATCTATCGTTTTGATGGGATACGCATCCTACGAAACTAATTTCAACGATCTAACCGTCAAACTTGTTTATATATGCTTCGAGATCGCATACGCCAAAAATTGAAAAAAACAAACATTTAGATATCAAGTAACGAGACAAAACTTTTCAACGGTTATAAACGAAAAATCATGATTTAACGGTTATTTTAACTCTAATTTTGATGATTTTTTACAGCTACACTCCTTGACTCTATATGAATACAATGAATGAATTCGATCTTCAATTTAAAATATTTACACTAGTGGATACCACAAAATCTTATGTTATACTTGATGAAAATATAAATAAACTCTCAAGTGTTAGTGAATCTATCGTTTTGATGGGATACACTTCCTACAAAACTAATGTCAACGATCCAACCGTCAAACTTGTTTATATATGCTTCAAGATCGCATACACCAAAAATTGAAAAAAACAAACATTCAGAGATCAAGTAATGAGACAAAACTTTTCGACGGTTATAAATGAAAAATCACGATTTAACGGTTATTTTAACTCCGATTTTGATGATTTTTTATAGCTACACTCCTTGACCTTATATGAATATAATGAATGAATTCGATCTTCAATTTAAAATATTTACACTAGTGGATACCACAAAATCTTATGTTATACTTGATGAAAGTATAAATAAACTCTTAAGTGTTAGTGAATCTATTGTTTTGATGGGATACACGTCCTACGAAACTAATTTCAACGATCCAACCGTCAAACTTGTTTATATATGTTTCGAGATCGTATACGCCAAAAATTGCAAAAAACAAATATTCAGAGATCAAGTAAAGAGACAAAACTTTTCAACGGTTATAAACGAAAAATCACGATTTAACGGTTATTTTAACTTCGATTTTGATGATTTTTTACAGCTACACTTCTTGACCCTATATGAATACAATGAATGAATTCGATCTTCAATTTGAAATATTTACACTAGTGGATACCACAAAATCTTATGTTATACTTGATGAAAGTATAAATAAACTCTTAAATGTTAGTGAATTTATCATTTTGATGGGATACGCATCCTACAAAACTAATTTCAACAATCCAACCGTCAAACTTATTTATATATGCTTCGAGATCGTATACGCCAAAAATTTCAAAAAACAAACATTCAGAGATCAAGTAATGAGACAAAACTTTTCGACGGTTATAAATGAAAAATCACGATTTAACGGTTATTTTAACTCCGATTTTGATGATTTTTTATAGCTACACTCCTTGACCCTATATGAATACAATGAATGAATTCGATCTTCAATTTAAAATATTTACATTAGTGGATACCACAAAATCTTATGTTATACTTAATGAAAATATAAATAAACTCTAAGTGTTAGTTAATGTATCGTTTTGATGGGATACGCATCATATGAAACTAATTTCAATGATCCAACCATCAAACGTGTTTATATATGCTTCGAGATCGCATACGCCAGAAATTGCAAAAAACAAACATTCAGAGATCAAGTAACGAGACAAAATGTTTCGACGGTTATAAACGAAAAATCACGATTTAACGGTTATTTTAACTCTGATTTTGATGATTTTTTACAGCTACACTCCTTGATCTTATATGAATACAATGAACTAATTTGATCGTCAATTTAAAATATTTACAGAAGTGGATATATACCACAAAATCTTATGTCATGATGATCTATGAAAATTGAGGATTTTGTAAAAGGAATAACATGTAAGCTTTGAGTTCCATTGGCAAGGTTACATGGTCGTTTAGATTTTTAAAACCCTCCAAATCTCATGAACAATGTTATTTATTTTAGTGAAAAATTAATAAAATTAATAATAATTATTGTAGAAGTGTGAAAAATGTAATCACTCGTAATAAAAAGCTTTACAACTTTCATTAAGGGGTCAACTCCGAAATTTAGTATGCATATACTGATTTAGTATTATGTTTTACATTTTTTTGGGTCAAATTATGTTTTTCATTTTCATTTTTATTGATTTAAAATATATTTTTCTTAACGGGTAACGGGTCGGGTCATATTACCTGAAAATATTAACGGGTTGATTTCGGGTCGGGTCATATTACCCGTTTACTTTAACGGGTATTACACGACACGACCCGTTAAGCTATCGGGTATGACACGAAAACGACACGAACACGAGAAACACGACACGAATGCCAGGTCTACCTCCAGGTACCTCGAACGATTATAGCTCAAATTTGTTCCTCCTAACTTCTCATAATCCCATAAGATCTCATTGAAATCTCTTCCACAAAGCCATGGTATATTAGTCGGTTGGAACCAATTGTGCATCCACCTCCAGAATTCCAACTTTTCGGTCCGATAAGAAGTACCGTACACCCATGTAACCCGAGCCCAGCGATCCGAGCCCACATAGCTAATTCGTGCATCAATAATATGTTTGGAAGAATACCCAATCTCCACCTCTAAAGAGCCATCCCACCACATACTTAGTTCCCTAGCTCTCCCAATAGGGGAAACATGAAACCCCCTCAGATACCCCATTCTTCGTCTTACTCCATCTACTCTATGATCTTTTATTTTTGTTTCAGCGAGAAAAATCATAGCGGGTCTATGCTTTCGTATTAGCCCATGAAGGGCCCGAACTACCGTGTCTGACCCTAGACCACGGCAGTTCCATAAAAGGTGTGTCATGGTTCCCTTGCGGCTGTTGAGGGCCAGCCGCCACCACCCTATAATCCTTTAATCTCCTGTTGTGCTGTCATCTCTAGTTTCTCCTGCTCAGCTATTTCTTCAATCCTCTAATGATTAGTACAAGACCTATATTAAAGTAGTCCAACTAAAAAATGGTCCAACTATAATAAATTATTATTTGTCAATTTTATCCCTAACGTTTTTAGGTTGAGTTCCAAATTTTCATCGTTAATGGAGTTCATTTTTGTTTTGCAGACCTTCTTCTTTTTCTTTGAAACAAAAATATAGATCATCATCCTATTTAATTTATATTTTGTATTATTTCGTTGAAATGTGATCGTCGTTATTATTCATTTATTTGAGGTACTGTTTTTCAATTTTTCTTCATCAGTGAAGTTCATCGTTTGTTTCTCTAGAAAATAAATTTGAGATCTGCATGCTATTCAATAATAACGACGGTTCATTGTTTTTGGACTGTAAAAATAAATTTTTTCTGGATTTTAAGTAACACTGTTTTTGAAATCTAAGTAACTGTTTTTGTAATCTAAGTCACTGTGTTTGAATCCAAGTGAAATAGACACACTGTTTCTTAAATGTAAGCTAGAAAAGAAATAGTGAAATTTATTGTATCTGGATTCAAAGCAAAATAAGCATCCTGAATATAATCAACTGATGAATGGAAGAAAAGAAACAGTCAAAGGTTAAAACATAGATTGTTTATGGAATCTAAGTCACTGTTTCTGAAATTTAAGTCACTATTTCTAGATTTTCGTTCTTTTCTTTTCAGATACAGTATTTGTTTGTGCACAAACAAAACAAATACTTTTCTCTCTCGGTTTCGATTTCGTTTTTAAGTTGTGTCAAAAATCGGGTTAAATGAAAGAATGATTGAGTAAAAAGAAAAAATGAGTGATATTTTTGTGGTGGATATACCTACGTATATATGCCTAATTATAGTGCTAATAAATTAATAATTAAAAATAACAACGGAGTAATAATTGGGGATGAAGGTTCTAATTTTTAAGATTAGAGAGAAGGCGGTGGGGCATGTGACACATCTTATTGGCTAAGAAACTGGGGAAAGAGAGTTGGAGGCTAAAACCCGTGGACATGCAGACACAAACACAACCAAACTAAGATTTAATGGGAGTGTGGTGTGGCCCGACAAACCTTTCACTCAGTTCAAACCTGGGAAAGTTCAATTTTCTGATGGAATTGGACTCACGGAACGGAGTTTCCGTCAGGGGCATTGGTTGGAATAAGAAATTTTGGTTTTGCATGTCGGCTTATTTCCTAAATTTGGAATAAGAAGTTTTTGTTTTTATTATATTATATTTTGTACTTTTATTAAATTTTAAGCTTTTTATATTAAAAAAAATTATAAAATAGTTTTTGGTTAAAATAAACTTAGTTGAAGTCGTTTTCTTTAAAATTCGTAAACTTATTTTGTCAATACAATTCCTAATTTACCCCTAAAAGTGGAACGGAATTTCGAAAAAAAACCACCCTCCCCGCGCCGAACAACTCACAGCATCCAATCACCCACTGCTCGCCGCCATGAACTCACGGCAAGACAACTACCACCTCCATTGATGGCGATAATTACAACAGCGACACCACATTAATTCTCTCACTTCCTACTCTTAATTTTCTCCTCTTCCATTCTTACCTCGTCATGGAGCCCGAGGGTGATCGGCGACAACTCCAACCTTCAGATCTGCTGTCCCCAACCTCTGATCAAAGTTCAGGGGGTCCGACGATAATTTATAGTGCCCCTCTTCGATGTAAAGGAAGGTAGAAGGAGATAGAAAGAAAAAGGGAGAGGCGAAGGGAGAGATGGGTGGGGGTAGGGCGGAGGTCGGAGACTCCGACGAATATGTGGGACGGTTTCTTTAATTAACTTTTTTTGTTTTTATTTTTAATTTATTTTCTGAAAATTTTCTCCTCCTATACACGTGTTGGGTCGACCATCAGATGGGGATGGGTTACCAGAGAGAGCCTGAAGAATTCCAACGCTTCTCCTGAACGAGGTTTAGCTGAGCAATTCCACTTCTCTCTCTCACAAATCTGCTTTCGTCGCTCTCGACTTCTGCTTCCATCTCACAGAGGGTAGAGTTGCTATCGGTCAGATGGAGGAATGGGTGTGAGATTCGGTGAGAGGAAGGAGAGGGAGGAGCAGGGAGATGGGCTCGAGTTTGCGAACGGCGGAAGAGATCTTCAGGGATTACAGTGCTCGGAGAACCGACGCCGACACGCTTTAACTAACAGTACTCCGATCTCTCTCTCTCTCTCTTAATTTCCTTTTGGCTTTGGATATCTCTGACCTTTAGGGTGATTTATTTTCTCACTTATTAATTGACTGCTCTGCAAAGTAAATTTATTGATTTTTGGAGCGAAATTTAGATCGAGTAACTGAAGAGATCAATTACAGCAGTTGGGAAACGTACAATGAGAATTTGAGTTCTGGGTTTTGCAAATTTTCTTTCTTTTTTGGGTATAAATCTCGGGATTTTGGGTTTTTACAGTAGTGGGTTTTTGGAAATTCAAATTCTTGCATTGGCAAATCCATGTAAAACCCTTCAATTTTGTTTTGTTTTAACTTTTGAGGTATGGTTTTATAGAAATTAACGGTTGGAATTAACTTTTGTAATCTTGATTTTGGTTTGGTTCAGCTAGGGTCTAGATGAGTCTACCTGCTATGGTGAAGATGGAAGATGCTAAGCCTGAAGTTCAGCTTCCAACAATTCAAATTCCGAGAGCCGCGATTATGGTCTTCTCCAAGATCGATTTACTGATTTGTGCAAGGTTGGCGCTTTTTGCCTCGTTTCGATTGTGATCGAATTTATCTTTTTGTTCGTTCTTATTGTAAATGTCATTTTGTTTGTAAAGTTTAGTTTATAAACCGTGCTTCTATTTACTTTTTGAATTTCTTTTGTGTTTATGTTGTCATTTGTTGATTTTAGTTTCTGTGGATTTATATGCTTCTGATTACAGAAGGTATTTGTCATTGGACGAGAACTCCTACAAGCAAGCTGCAAATCTGTTCAAAAAAACCAAGATCTGTTAATATCAAATGCGTCAGCTATTGGCAAGGGAACAGTACGTATTGTTATTTCTCCATTCTATAGTCGTGTTAATAATGTTATGTTGAAATAAGGTCTGAGGTGATATCCTTTTGCCGGGATTTCCTCTGACAAGTGACAACCCCATTAGGCCCTTGAGATGGCAGGTGAGGTACTTTTACTTATCCAATGTTGTCCCTTCCAGCTTATGTTGTTTATTGTGGTTTATACCGTTTATTTATGGGTGATAACATATATCTTCTCTTCTTTGCATATGGCAGTCATCAACTCGAGTTATGTGACTCAAAGGATGGGGCAAGGTAACATTGTTATTTCTTTTCCTTACAAGTAATTTGGTTTCTATAGATACCAACGCGTTAGCGAATCATAATATCATAACATCGAGTGCAAAACAATAAGATTACCATGGTTGCAGTCATTCGGGGAAAAAATAACATACATGGAACATTGTTTGTTCAACAGACATCTACACAATTTATTATATAAGGGAAAAGCACAATGCTTAAGATCAAATAACTTGCAGCTGGAATGAGGTTGAGCAGAGATGTTTAAGACTAGAGGGCTATAATTGTACATATTTAACAAATGTGTATCTTTGTTAGTGAAGGCTTTCGCCTTTTGGGTTCAGTTCTATCTTCTCTCTCCCCCTTATATGATTGATTCAACGGGAAAGGGGTTCGGTGCTTAACGATAAAGATACAATTTTTACACAATTCGTTTCCTTTTCTTTTTAATTTGGATCAAATTCACAATCTTATCGATTAATTTCAGAAGTTGGGAATAAATTTTGGAATGTGTTTGCATTTGTCCATGCCACGATGGTTTAAATGAGAAAACTAATGGACTGATTAATTTCAGTAATTTCATTAAACCCAGATTTTGGAAGTGTTGATGGTGCGGCTGTAGTGGAGGGGAATTAGAAAACTAAATTTTAGAGTTTTCTGCTCCTGTGTTATGCTTCCTAATCTTGATTTTGTATTATCTTATTCAGGCAAATGAGAAAACTGAATTCATTGTGATTTGCGGTCTGACAGTGAAGATGTATTTCAGACCGTTTCTTCGATCAGGAAGAATTACTCCTCCAAATTGGACCAGATTATTTATGGTTTTTAATGATTTACAGAGCTCCTGGGTTGTCAATTGTGACTACTACTCACATGGATTATAGGTAAAACAACTATTTTCTTTTCTTATTACCTTTCCTTTAAATGTGTTTTATTCTGAGATTCTCTCTTTATATTTTGCAAATTTCCAGCACTTATGCAAACTTCAGAGCATACAGGAAAGCAATGTTTTCCATTTGGGGTACAAAGAACCAAATATGTTATCGACGTCTTCAATGAACTTATTACTTTTAATTGTTTAGTTTAATTGATGTTTGGATGCTTAAAAATATTTTTCGTTTCGTCTTTTTGAACTGAACGGATAATCAAATTGGAATAGATTCTATTTTTTTTTTAATTTTTTTTTTTTTTTTTGTTAGTTCATTTTGTTTAAGCCCCGAAATTAGAACAAAAAAGCTTGCATGAAATTTGAAGTTCTCTGTGATTGAGAACTCATTTTAATTCTACTTGAAGTTTTCTCTAATTGATTTCTGGATTTATTAAATTGTGGGTTACAATTTCAAAACCTGCAGCAAAACGTGGGCATTTTTGCTAGTATGGTCCCTAAAATTCAGCTACGTAAAATTTGACAGAGATTACTAGAATCACAATATCAATTATTATAACGAATGGCAAATCGAACCAAATAATTAAGAAAGTATCTCGACAGAATACTCTTGTGTAACTGGTTATTTATGCAAGTACGAATTTCAAAAAGCTGAACGCTATATGTTTCAGCCACACAATTTGAAACACACTAGTAATGAGGGCGGTGTAGATATCAAATACATGTTATGAAGCTCGTTGTAAACATTAAAAATAAAAATAATAAAATAAATTTCCCCAACATCTCCTTATTTGATAGATTGCTCGTAGCAAGAATTCTAATCTGAAGTTGGAGCTACCCATTTCTCCTAGTTTTATAGGGTCGATAACTTCTTGATGGTAAGCATACCAAATGGCTCAGGAAGGCAAGGAAGACTCTGCGCTGATAGTTTCTGTGACACAAAATGCATTGTCGGACGCAACCCAGGACGCGTCTGTATACAAGCCAATGCTATACTCATTACAAGCACCACTGCCTTTGCCAATTCATTGGTTGGAGGCTCTAGTCTTTGATCTAACACATCTTTCAAAAGCAACTTTGCATTTTCATTCATTGACGTTGATGATTCTGATAGTTGGGACTCTAACATATCCCTGGGGTGCCTTCCCATCATGACTTCTAGTGCCACCACTCCGAAGCTATAAACATCACACTTATCCGTCACCTGCATAATATATGCAAGCTCTGCGTATAAAGAGAAGAAAAATTGTCAACTCTACAAAAGATAGTACAAAATTGTGCAACATTAAAATTTTACATTACCTGGCGCCATGTATCCTAGCGAACCAACAATGTTGGTCCAATTGGATGAATCAATACTCAACAGTCTTGCTGTTCCAAAATCTGAGAGTCGAGGCTCGAAATCCTGCTCAAGCAATACATTATTGACAGTTACATCACGATGAACAATTGGTGGTGAGGAGTCATGGTGCAGGTAAGAAAGTGCATGAGCAAGTCCTTCCATAATTTTTACCCTTGTTGGCCACCCAAGTTCAGTAACCCCTTCCACCCCATACAATGCTTTTCCAAGGCTGCCTCTCTGTAAGTATTCGTAAAGCAAGAATATGCAACCCCTCCTTGAAGAGAAGCCGTATAGCCTTATGATGTTGCGATGTCGGATAGTTGTCAAAGTTCGGATTTCATTCTCAAAACTTCGGAGATTAATTGCTGGAATGTCATTAGAGTCATTCGTGTTAAGCCTCTTCACTGCAACAACTTGACCTGATTCGAGCTCTGCCTTGTATACTCTTCCAAATCCGCCTCTCCCAATGCAGTGTTTGTCATGAAAGTCGTCTATGGCCTTGACAACTTCCCGAAATGTGAATTTCACTTCTTCTTGCAATATCATTGACTCATAATCCTCAAAGTTTTGAGAAGTTTTGATTACCTGAGGCCGGATTTTGGACCTCTTGTGAAACGTAAGAAAGAAAGCAATGGCAATTGCAACCGTTGCGAAACCCAATAAGGAAAAAAGGAAAACAGATACTATATTCTTTTTAGCACTTTTGGAATTTGTACTGGAGGATTTACTTTCAGTTAGTCCCTCATGACTCCGCAAGCCAAGGTTACCAACAAAAGCACTTTTTGGCGCATTATTGAAAATGCCACTAGTTGGGAGTGGCCCTGTCAATTTGTTATAAGAAAAGTCATAGCTACTTAGAGTAAACATGTGATCTAATGCTGATGGGATTTCGCCTGAGAGATTATTATGTGAGGCGTTGAAATACTGTAATCTTGTGAGCATGCGCAATTCTGATGGTATTGCACCCGATAGTGAATTGCTGCTGAGATCCAAGTCGAACAAACCTGTTAAGCCTGCGGCGAGAAACAGATGAATTGGTATTACCCCTGTCAAATTGTTATTAGACAATGAAAGATGCTTCAGGTCCAACATACCTGAAACCAATAGGATCACTCCTGTCAAGTTGTTAGCAGACAAATCGAGGCGCCTAAGTTGAGATAAATTGCCTAGACTCTGAGGAATCGCTCCTGTCAAGTGGTTATGCTTCAAATAGAGTCCCAGAAGCCGAGTCAATTTGCCTAGACTCTGAGGAATCTCTCCTGTCAAGTGGTTACCAGACAAATCGAGTAGCTGAAGCTGAGTCAATTTGCCTAGACTATGAGGAATCTCTCCTGTCAAGTGGTTATCGAACAAATAGAGTACATTAAGCTTAGATAAATTGCCTAGACTCTGAGGAATCTCTCCGCTGAATTCGTTGGAATAAAGCCATAGATACTGCAATTGTGTCAACAGCCCAATTTCTGCTGAAATGGTTCCGCTAAAGTTATTTTGTTGAAGGTTCAAAGAGACTAATTCCGTCCAGTTGGAGACCAGAGAAGGAAGGATATGACCAACAAATCGATTATTATGTAAATCCAATTGAACGAGGCTTTTCAGATTGGACAAGGACAGAGGCAGTTCCCCGTTGAGGTTATTGGAAGACAGGGACAAGTGGGTGAGGTTTGTACAAAGACCAAGCTCATAAGGGATAGAAGAGTTTAAGGAGTTGGCTGAAAGATCAAGGTACTGGAGCTCCCTGAGTTTGCCTGTAGAGGGTGGAATTTTCCGTTCCAGAACATTCGAACTCAGGTCAATATATTGAAGACCAGAAATCAAACCTATACTGTCCGGAATTGGGCCAGAGAATTGGTTGTTGCCAAAGTCCAAAGTTGTGAGCCTGGAGAGATTTCCAATGGCAGATGGTATAGGCCCTCGGAAATAGTTGCCACTCAGGTTCAAGTGGGTGAGATTTGGAAATAGGGAAAAGTCGAAAAGAGCCAGTGTTCCGTATATTTTCATACCGGAGAGGTTTATTTTGGAGACTCTTCTGGTTTTGGTGCAGACAATGGCAGTCCAGTTGCAGAGGTTGTTGAGGTTGGTGAGGGACCATGAATTGAGTAGCGAAGGTGGCCATGATGATGAAGACAAGTCGTCTTTCCATTTGATGAGTGATTCTGCTTGTTTTCCTGGAGATATTGATGTCGTTTTGATCAGTGGCAATGCGAACAGCAGCAGGAGAATATAATGAAATGTCATGGTTTTGAGTTGCATGATGATCAACTCGATTCACTTTACTAGATGTTCTTATCTTTTTGTTTGTCGTGTTTGCTTGAAACACGTTTCCATGTCTTAAATCCACACGCTATTAGACTTAGACTTTGCTAAAATGACTTGATGTGACCAATCATTTTGCGTGCCATATCCTTTAGCCGTCCACCTAAGAATTTTTCAAAAATAAGATGTCTTTGAACTTTGTTCAGCCTGCGCAAAAATGATTTAATCAATATAGTCCAAATACAAACAACAGTAGAACTTTTGTCTCTACATAAAAAAAATAAAAATAAAATCGAAAAAGCAACCTAAGCATGGGAAAAAAATCAAAGTTCATTGAAGCACCTAAAGTTTCCGTCCGGTACTCTTGATTGTCAAAAAAGCAACCTAGGCAAGGAAAAAAAAATATGAAATATTAAAATACATGCAATTAATTTACACATCAACAAGTTTATACTATAAAAAAAAAGTATAAAGTATGGTTACATAGTCTTTTTTTGGTGGAAAATAATCTGGTTTTATACCAGCTAGAGAGGACTTTTTTCAGTGATTTAATAGTCTCTTGTTTAGATCAGTGCATTCTAATATTGTAAATGTAAGTATTGAGATTTTATATTATAGCTAAACAATCAAACTAAAAACCAAGTTAACACCTATAGAATTATCCCCTGCATCCTCAAGAGGACCTAATTCATTTATTAATTCTACCGAACATGTATAACACTTAACACTTCATCTGTAGCTTAAAATAATAGAACAATAATGAAAATGGTAGAAATCAGACCTTCATTTTGAAATCCTGAACAAACACAAATTAGAAAACAGGTTATTAAAGTAACTCGTAGATTGAAGGCTGATCAAGTTGAGAGTGGAGCTTGATCTGCTCACTTCACAAAAAGTCATAGAAAGTACCGACTCTTAAAACACTCGGGTTAGTCTATGAACAATGAGTAGGTAAGGAAAACACTGGACTATTTTCCAATCGAATAGATATTTATGAAAGAAAAAATGAGAATCATGATGCCTATTCTAATATCCTAAGCAGTAATTTGGGAATTTTCCCACAACCTACACTAAAAGTAGGATAGCCAAGGAAAACAGTAAGCAACAATTATCTTTGTTAACAAAGAAAAAGGAAAACCTGGAACTTTTCTCTATGTTCCATAAATCCGGAAAAGAATGCAGGTGCATCTGTTTGAAGGTCACATGGCAACACAAAAGAATTACTGAAAACATAAGATTCACAAGATAGCTCAATGCATGGCAACGACATAAAAACAGATTTCGGGAAACAATTGTCTAGTTAAAGAACAATCTCATTAACAACTCAGTGTGAAATGTGCACCAAGACAAAGACATTATTTAGATAAAGTGATTAGGGATCTCCACTACTTGTGCTAGCAACAAAGGCCAGGGTCAATGAGATAATCAACCTTTCTACACTTCAAATGAATAAGTTAAAAGAAGAATGCTTAGGAAATCATTTCTTAATAAATTAACAAAGAAAGACAAGACTACTACCTTTCTTGGGTGTCATAGGTGGAAAATCCTTTTTCCTTCCATAACTATGGCTCTAGAATAATCTGAAGCTGCAATACAGAAATGAATATCATACTTGATGCCAATGTAGGACAGGTTGCAAAGGTATGAGTTACGCTTGTCAAGTTAAAACAATAAATTAATTATACAAAAAATCCATTTAAAAAAAAAAAAAAAACCTAAAAACAACAAACCATTCACTAATTTTTCATACGAAATAGAATGAAGCTATAGAATATACCTTTTCAAAGTGAGTATTGTGAAAAATACAACATAGCTTGAGACGATGGTAATTCACGTGTTTGGAAAAGTCTACCTGCGTGGTGGTGGAATGTGGGAGAAGCTCAGCAACACAATTGCTTCTACCTGGACAAAAGAAGGCAGGGAAGCATTGATAAAGCAAATGCTCGGAGAACAACTCAAGGATGAAAAGACTGACGCTCAACCAATCGAATTGTAGTTCTGTAATCGTCACACAAATAAACCCTTAATCCAGCAAGAATTTATATATTACAACTCAATAAAATACACGACTTTATTAAAAAAAAAATTAGTAAATAAAAAACCAACACAGTCAAAACTAAATAACTTGGGCAATCACTAAAATTAAAAAGCTTCATAAACGATAAAGAAGGGAGACGGGTACAGACCATGAAAAAATTTGAAATTCCAGAAGGTCTAAATGTAAATTCGCAAAAATCATTCAAACCAACTCCGTATAATTCGCATAAATTATTCAATAATTCAAGTAATTGAAATTGCTCACCTTGAATAAAAAGGCACATAATCTTAAAACCACCGTCTCCGAAACCAAACAAATTGCTTCATCATTCAACTATACCCTCAGTGTTATAAATTCGAATAAAAACCCAATGAATAAAAGTGGCTACTAACCAAAGCATCCTTTGATCAAATTAAAAAATTCAAATAAAATTAAACACCAAAATCTGCAAGAATTTTCAGCAAAACAAAGAACACTTCTCTTTTAACACCTTCACCAACACTCTCAACAATGTTGTAAAAAAACAACCGTAGTGATTTGAAAACAAATTGCATGATGTGATTCCTGAAATTGGTCCTATAATATTTCTTCAGGGCCCTTCATGAAAACATATATACCAAAACATCACAAAAGCTTAAAATGCCCTCTTTTATTGAATCGAAAGAAAAAGAGAAATCATCTTGGCCAAACTGAAAAGAAAAAAAAAGATTAATTAAAGAAACATCCTGTATACAAAGTAATGTCTAAAACCTGAGAGGTGAGCACAAAAACATACCAAAATAGCTCAGCAGCTTATTAAGAGCATGGGTAAGAACAACATTACAGAAAAGGGCACATCTTTTGGTGCATTGAAGGGGAGGAAAAAAGATAGACACAACGAAACAGAAGACTTGAAACCAACGAATCAAAAATTAATAAAACTTCATACAGAGTAACAGTTAAAGAATTTGGAAGACCCCAAATACGAATCATTTAGAGATGCACTAACACCACAATTCATGATCATTATCCAAAATCTCCAAAGTAAGCATATGTTCAAATATACACCTCTCTATTTTTCATCCCTCTCCCTGTTATTTGGTATTGTGATAAGGTTTATGACAAGCAATGATTTTACCAAAATTTAATAATAAAAAACATCACTACTTAAACACAAACATGTTGATCCTACCATCAGAGAAGGAGTCGATCTCTACCTCTGATATGTTGATCCTACCATTCCCCTGCATACTTGATTCCTTTTAAGGCCACCTGTTGGGAAAAAAATAAACACAAACATGTAACACTACTTAAACAAAAAGAGATTTCTCAATTAGAGAAAGCTTCAGTTTCATGTAATTTATTTTGTTAACAATGCAATATTGGAACTTGCATTTGGTTCAAAGAAGTAAGGTAAATTGATAAAACAAAAGGAAACTAAAAATAGAATCTATACCGATTGGTTTAAAAGTAGCAATCAGTATGGCAATGAAAAATTCATATTGAAACCTTGTGAGATTATCATGATATGTGTTCACCTCCTATTTTTTATCAGACCAGTTCTCATTCTATAGCTCTTGAGTTTAATTTTTCTTTCGACCCACTATGTAGATCGGTTCAACCTCCTTTTGTTTTTCCTAGAATTTTTTTCATCGAAATACAAACCTGTGTGAGCGTTAAAAAACCTGCATTGTTTATGCATATTAACAAACTGATAGAAAACTTGTTACATAATATATAGGGAAAATTGCCAATTTAGTCCCTGCATTATCACCTTAGTGAAAATTAGGTCCCTAAACTATTTTTTTTGAAAAAAAAATAGTCCTTGAATTATAAAAATTTGCCAATTACATCCCTAATGTTATATTCGAAGCTACTATATTCAATTTTCCATCAATTTAAGTCACGCTACTTGTATGTCGTACACATTGGAGGGTAGATTGATAGTTTTTCATAAAGAAATAGTGTATGGAGTTAACTTTGGAGGAGAAATATGTAGTTTTTCATAAAGAAATAGTGTAAGTTAACTTTTGAGGGTAAATTAGACATTAAATTCGCAACCTATATGAAATATTAAGCACTTATAGACGAGAAAATGATGGTATTACACTCTAAAGTGTGTCAAGTGACTTAAGTTGATGAAAAATTGGATAAAATAGCTTTGAATATAATAGTATGGATGAAATTAGCAATTCTAATGAATTTAGGGACTTATTTTGCCGAAAAAATAATTCAGGAACCTAATTTTCACTGAGGTGACTAAATCGGCACTTCACCACCCTAATATATATATATATATATAAACATTTGATATCAGCAATAGTACTTTCATCAACATGAACTTTTCATCCAAAGTGGCATTTAATTTCTTTATTTCTTCATCATCTATGATATAAGGTACTGTTTGGTACGCAAACGGAACAGGACAAGACGAGACAGGACGGGACAGAACGAAGGTTTCGTGTTATGTTTGGTACGTGCAAGATGGAACGGGACGGTTGTTCCGTTCTGCGTTTGGTACGCGCTGGACGAAACGAAACCAAAAGATTGAATGACTAACTTACTCATGTTCCGTCTGTTGTTTGGTACAATGTTTATGTGGGGGATGGGACAGGATTTCTTTCTTTTCTTTTTTTTTTTTCTTTTTTTTTTTAAACTTGTTCATATTTGAACACATATATGCTTATCTATGATATATTTTTGACAGTAGTACATGGCTGAAGATATGTTATGCCATTTCTTGACTGAAGACATGGCAGAAGAAGCAAAATGAAAAACAATGGCAGAGAATTTAGAGAGAGAAAGTGAATGACTAAAGATTGTATTCCTTGAACAATGAATGAATTACAGAGAGGGAGTTGTTTGTTATTTATACAAGTATTCTTTGCTTCACTCATGAGCTACTAACCAACTTCCTTATATCCCTACAAATCCCAACAAACTAACAGCCTTCCTACAATCTCAACAAACTAACTGCCTTGCTGATGTGTCTGTAGAGCCATACTGAGTTGTCACAATTCTAAAGAGAGCATCAATCATCGTATTCATCCTCTCTAGTGTCATCTTTGCTAGCGCTATCACAATGGGTAAAAACATGCATTCCCAAAATCAACCAATTTGCACGTCCAACATGCATTCCCAAAATCAACCAATTTTCACTTCAGATCAATTGATGCCAACAACTTATGCCTTGTAGTGCAATTGCCTCTCTTACTACCCTGACTTCCTGGACGATAGCCATTTGGCCCACCAGCATCTGATGATCTATTTGCATTGACAGAACTAGTAGATTGGTCTTCGACAGAACGCACATTCAATCTTGTGTTAGAAGATGCCTCTACCGCAGTGGATGTTTCTACATCAGCATCAGCTTCATCTCTATCCACGCACTATTGAACTACACGCTTCGCCTTTCTTCTAATCTTTTTCTTCTAGTTCCGACTCATTTCCCCATTTAACGCTTTTGCATACCCTGATTCTGATGCATCCTTGTCTTTACCACCTGCAAGAATAAGAGGTGCTCTTGACTTTGTTGGATCCTTGAGCAGGTCTATCATTGACATCAATAAGATATTCTCTGGCTTTAAGTCAGTGTGTATAATAGACAGCTGTTTCTGCAAATAATCCAATCCAACCAAAACATGATAACAAATCTCCTTAACCTTATGTAGTGGCACTCCTCGGTAATCACTGTACTTAAGCGTCAACTGATTATCACCCAAGTACTCAAAAACCATACAAACATGTTGCCCATTCGAACCAGAATGCTTAAAATGGTCTAGATGCTTCACCACGCATTTTTTTATCATCTGGGTCTCCCTCTGCAATCTGTTTCAAGATGGTTATCTCATCTATGGCCGCCTCGATGTAGTGGTCAACATAACTCTTTTGCAATTTCAAAGCAACAAATCTCTGGCATTTTTGTGCAATTCAACACCCACCCAACAAAAACAAAACACATTTGTCATTAATCCTCCATTAATTTACTTAAAACTAAGCATGTCAAAGATAAAAATAAAAAAAAACAAAAAAAAAAACCAAGAACAAGATTAAAATTGCAATTACTTTCCCCCACATTCTCAAAGCCAAGCTCACAACGGAACCCACTAAATCTCACAGCTCGGAACCAGATCCAATCTTTACAAACCATAACCATAATAAACCTTAATATTCAGACTTTGTTCTTTTTCCCCAGAATAAGTTAAACCAGAGAAACCAAGAAAACTAACTTATTTTCTCATAACCATCCTATTTTCCCAGAAAATTGAAATTTTCCATGGAAAAATCAAGAAAACGAACCTGGAGATATAGCGACTACGGGAGAAGATCGAGATTGAACCTGAAGATGCAGCGGCTATGGGAAAAGATCAAGATTGAACCTGGAGATGCAACTGCTATGGGAAAGGATGAGGAGGAAGACTATGGGAAAAGGCAGCAGCATGCAAAGAAGATGGAACGAAGAAGAAAATTTTAGGGTTTGTTTTTTGGATGGTGTAAATATTGAAAAAGATAATGGGAATTTTTGTCTTAAAATGTTATAAATTTGTGTTCTACGGATGTGGAACGAGTCGTTCCAAGGGATGAGGCAGAACCAAAATTCACCCAAAACTCGTCCCATGGAATAGCACGTTCCACCCGTTTTAGGCAGATCAACATCACCACCAGTACCTACTTTCAACTTTAATGACAGTATTGTTGAAGGAATTAGAAATCCAACTCTAAGGTATAGGCTAAGGGTACCAAAACTCTTTGATAGGCAACAAGTTCTCTTAGATAATTTTTGGAATATCCAAATCAAACAGCCAAATACGAGGTTAGGTCATGAAAAACTAATTAGAACCTTAGAACAAGAGTTTGATAGTTTTAATTTTAATTTCCATCAAAGACAACATCATATTCATTCTCTTAAGCACAACCTTTAAGTCATTTCTAGAGACCATGAGTCATTACTTAGTAAGTTTATCAAAATGAACCAAGAACTTCAATCCCTTAGAATGCAACAAAAGGCAAGTGACACCCTAAAAAGAGAATTGAAAGAAAAACAAGAAAGATATGAAAGTTTTCTTATGAATATATCTTTAGACTTGATAATAGATGATATCTTATTAGAAGAAATTTCAAAAGCAAAATTAAGAATAATGACACCAGATATGCAAAATGAGATCCTGAGCAGAGCATCACAATCCATGACAGAGTTACAATTACAATTACAATGTGCTTTGTATCAGTCCATCTTTGATCCAAAACCAGGGATGGATATTATTACAAAGATGTATCCATCATGTCTTTGTGATAATACAAAGAGTTGTATTTGTAAACCAAAAGTTAGTATAGATGTAGCCAGGATTAACATGAGAGATTTTAGACCATGACATTTTAGTTATGAGCATCAGAAAATGCATAATGTAATAGAAGTTACCCTAGCCTTACTATTAGAATTTGGTTATCTTGATAAAATATTCATCAAGCATATTTCCCAATTAGAATTATTTCCTAAAAAACTTATAAAAGTAGCAGAAGATTATAAAGAAAAATGGAAAGAAATTTGCATAAGTTTTATTAGTAGTCCTCCAGATTGGTATGTACATATGCATAAGGAGAAAGCTAGGCATATAACTATGATTAATAAATAGTCCTTTAGACTATCTCATATCTCCCCACACAGGTGGACTCCTTCATTCAAAAATATTTTAAGATTTCGAGGGATCCAAATGTTAGCCTTAGATGAGTTTGAAGATTTTAGGTATGATATGATATGATATTAATAGCAGAAGAAGAAGAAATGTATATTTATAGCAAGTCAAAAGCGCGTCATCAGTCATACTGGAAGCTCCAAAATTTCAAAAAATAAACATAAGATATGTATTACAAGGTGAAAGAAGATAGAGAAAGAAATGCAGAGCTAGTAGAAGGTGATGGACAGTACTGGAATAATTTGACAGAAGAAGAGCTACATAACATCAACAACATAATGGAAGCATGAAGAACTGGCAGTAAATTAGCATAAGTTGAATAGCATCGTGTAAAATAATGTATTTCCAAACAAAAATGTCAACATCATTGTGGACACCTTTTAATGGCATAAGAGTAAATAAAGAAAAGAGTTTGATCCATTATAGACTTTTCATACACAAAATGTCATTTTGATTAAAAATGAATAGTGCTAGGCCATTTTCATTAAAACTCCCTTTTTTTTTTTTTGACAAAAAAAGTAAGCAGTCTTTTTTTCCTTTCTCGTACCAAGTTTACCCTAAACTTAAGAGAGTAATTAAGTTAATACAATCCCTAAAGTTGAGGATTCTCTATTTCTCCCTAAAATTTAGGATTATCTATATCTTCAACTGGTATGATAGCATTTAAACTAAGTCCGAATGTGTGCACCACCTTAATGCAGTGTCACGTGCTAATTAACTTAACCATAATGGTAATGCTAGGGAGACCAAATTTTTAAATCAAATTTACAAACCAAATGATACAAACAAATTTTAGGCGTATCAAGGACTTTGATAAAAAAAATTAAAAACCAATAAGGTTCCAATCAAAGAACATTGGAAGCTTATTGGTTTTTAATTAATATGATTCGAGCAGCGTTAATGGTATGTATCGAGATGCATTGTGGTGCGGTGGATATTGAGTCTAATTCTCAGGTGATAATTAGTATGATTAATGTTGAGTAAGCTATAGATGCTACTTTGGTGTGTTTTATCCATGATATTGGTTATTTGGTGTCTCAATTAGGAGACGTGAGGTTTTTGTTTGTAAAGCGAAAAGGAAATGTCACTACTCATGTTGTAGCCTCATGTGTTACCTTGCATGGAAGTGCTTTCAGTTGGAATGCTTTCCTATTTAATATTCTTGCTGAAAATGCAAACGTTTATATTAGAATTTAATAAAATTCTCATTAGACCAAAAAAAAAAAAAAAATGAAGGCTATTACTGCATCCAAATTCTCGCATACAGAAAAGAAGCACAAACATCATCATTCCTAACGGTAAAAAACCACAAGGCCTCTGAACCTTAACCTAAGGGTCAAAAACTTTCAATGCATCCTTATTTCCAATAAACTTGGCGGGATCCAACGGACAGATCTCGATGCCGACCTGTTCGCATGAGTAAAACATGTCGCGCGGGAATATCTTCTATATATTCTTTTGGACAAAAAGCCTTGCACGGCCAGTTCAAATCTTGCTTCTCCTCTTCATCCTTCTTGGCCATGTCAGTTTCTTGCATGTGATATGGAGTAACAGTTGTATAACTATGAGAAGCCGACGCCATCAATCTTACTATGAGTTGTGAAACACCGCTCTTGATGTGGTTCCTGTTTGCTGCTTTAGCAACCCACAGGACTTTCGCCATTGTCACCTCCATGATCACTATAACAGCGAATTCAACGAGAAACAGTGTTTAAAACCCTAACCTACGTAATTTCTAGGTTTTCTTTATATATGCGAGAGAGAGAGTGGGCAGGGGGAGGAAGAGGGTTAGGGTTTAAAGTTTTAGGGGTGCTCTAACTAGACCAATCAATGGATCCGGTGTAATTAGTAGGATATAGGTTTGTGATTTCCACCCAAGCGTCCGTTTATGATCCAAATTCGATTACCGGTTAGTTAACAGATCAAATATAAATTAATGCTAATCCTATCCGACAAACTTACTTGAAAATACCCTCCAAATTCTCGGTCAGTGGATCTTCTTTGGTTTTTCCTTGCATGAACTCGATATCGTTAAAAGGGGTTTGACTGCCTATACTTCCTATTGGGTTTTGATTATGATTTTAGTTGGGCTTCAGTTACCTTCATTTGGGGTTATCATTGTGACTCAGAATTTTTAGAATTTTCTCATTAAAATTTCTTTGCTCCAGTTTCTTTCAATTGGGTTATCACTATTCAACTTGATTTCTTTAACTCTGTTTTTTTAAGTTACAATTTTGTTTTGTTAGAAATATATGAGCGTGCAACATATATAAATACTCAAGATTTAGATATTATACATAGCGAAAAACCTTGAGTCGAACAACCGTCTTGTTCTTACAACCGTCCCGAGCAAGGAACTACGAACACACATGAATTGGGGCTTTCGTGTACAGGTTTGGGACATAAGGCGGTGAATTAGCTACCTAGAGTTGGTTTGAAGAGTTATCCCTTGAGTCTCCGCCTCCATCTTGGTGAACCGAGCGTTTGCGATCGAGGGATTTGTAGTGATCGAAGAGGAAATTCCACTGAGGATTTTCGGATGTGGCTTGGAATTGGCTGGCTAGGGTTAGGTTGGAGGCTTTGGAGGCTAAGCCAAAGCCACTATACCAAGCATATTCCATATCCTTCAATTAATAAATAATTAAAAAAAATTTACCAAATACATATTATCATAATCGCCCTCCTATTTGAGTCGATTCTATTGTTCTACTACGTCAAATAAAACTAACATCTCCCACTCACCCAAATATGAGTGGTATCCTCACATTCAGTCACTTTTCATCATCCCAACATTCTGACGTTCACAAAGAAAGGATTATGGCGCGACCCTACGAAAACATGAACATCATAGAACAGAAAACATTTAACTCTTGCGTAGCCAATGAAGAGGTTATCTCGAAATCGTTTCGTCTATACCCTAGACTGTTTTCATAAAACACCGACAGTACATTCTTAATCCCTCGTGAAAGAAATTTCTTTGTCCCTCAAGCGTTATATGTGCTCATGTTTTCATCTTTTATGTGAACGTTGGCCAATTAATGAGCTAACTTAAATGTGATGTAATGACAAACTGCTTTCCCTAAACATTCATACCAATCCTACTAGACTTGACCGCTTTCTTAAACACACTCCTTTAGATGATAATGATTGTTGATCACCATATATAAGTTGCTAAAGTAGCAGTCGTCAAGTATCTTCTTTCTGACTTAGTCCCGAAGGGTACAAATATTGGATTCGAAAATCCAATGGCTCACACAGTAATGAAGAAGGGATTCATTCATTAATTCCACTATTTTGGTTGACTAAAGCACATATGTTGTAGTCTCCAACATGTATGCTATCATGTATTCTCTTACTTCAAATATGAGCATCACTTTGTCTGAAACAAACACTATTATGTCATAGGAATCTTAGTCTAGTTGCTATATAAACACTTGACCTAAGTCTCTCAGCATAAATGCCCTCCCGACGCCCACCTGAGACATGCATGATATAAAAGTTAGAAATCGATAATGATTTACCAAGCATATTCCATATCCTTCAAGTAATAAATAATTAAAAAAATTTACCAAATACATATTATCATAATCCACCTCCTATTTGAGTCGATTATATTGTTTAACTACGTCAAATAAAACTAACATCTCCCACTCACCCAAATAGGAAAGGTATCCACACATTCAGTCACTTTTCATCATCCCAACATTCTGACGTTCACAAAGAATGGATTATGGCGCGGCCCTACGAAAACATGCACATCATAGAACAGAAAACATTTAACTCTTGCATTGAAGAGGTTATCTCGAAAGCGTTTCGTCTATACCCTAGACTGTTTTCACAAAACAC